AAAATTCCCTTATGAATTCCTTCCATTATAAATTAAGGCAACAAAATACAGTGGTAATTATGATACACAGATTTGTCAACAGCAGAAATGACAAATATTCTTATATTACAGTTGCTATAGTTAGACTCATCACTATTTTGAACTTTTGGTAGTTATTACACCTTGTTCTTTGATGAGATTTTCCTTGAGACACTTTTTTTTTGAGACAGAATTTCACTATGTTGCCCTCGGTAGAGTGCTGTGGCATCACAGCTCACAACTCAAACTCTTGGGCTTAAAAGGGATTCTCTTTTTTTTTTTTTGAGACAGGAGCCTCAAGCTGTCCCCCTGGGCAGAGTGCCATGGCATCACAGCTCACAGCAACCTCCAACTCCTGGGCTCAAGCGAGTCTCCTGCCTCGGCCTCCCGAGTAGCTGGGACCACAGGTGCCCGCTGCAAATGCCTGGCTATTTTTTTGTTGCAGCCATCATTGTTGTTTGGTGGGCCTGGGCTGGATTCAAACCTGCCACCTTGGGTGTATGTGGCTGGCACCTTAGCCACTTGAGCCACAGATGCCAAGCCTTAAGTGATTCTCTTGCCTCAACCTCCCAAGTAGCTGGGACTACAGGCATCTGCCATAATACTCAGCTATTTTTTGTTGTAGTTATCACCATTATTTAGTTGGCCCGGGCCAGGCTTGAACCCGCCACCCTTGATGTATGTGACTGGCATTGTAACCACTGTGCTTTGGGCACCGAGCCCCTTGAGACACTTAGACCAAGGTCTTGCTCTGTGATCCAGGCTACAGTGCAGTGGTGTGATCTTAGCTTACAGCAGCCTAGAACTTCTGGCTTCAAGCAATCCTCCCACTGCAGCCTCCCAAAGTACTGAGATTATAGGAAGGAACCACTGCACCAGCCTTGTTTAAGTAAACTGGTGGGAACCTTAGGTCTAGATTCATTTTTATTGAATTTTATTGAATTTATTCAATTTTATTGAATTTTTCTTGCTCCGTCACTCTGTTATCCCAGCTAGAGTATAGTGGTGTCATCATGGCTCACAGCCTCAAATGCCTGGGCTCAAGAGATCCTCCTATCTCAGCCTCCCAGGTAGCTGGGAGTATAAACTCGCTGTCACACCAAGCTAATTTTTCTAGAGACAGGGCCTCCCTCTTGCTGAGCTTGGTCTCCATCTCCCGGCCTCAAGTGAGCCTTCCCACTTGGGCTGCCCATGCTGTCTCTGTCTACTCATGTATCTCCCATCCCTGTATGTGCGACTTTCAAGCCTTCAGGTTGGGCTGAATTAGGCTTTGATTGGAAGTATCCAACGTGCAGCCCATGGACTGCATGCTGATTTTGTGGGGACTTTCTTGCTTTTGGATATCACAAAAAGTCTGCAGGGACCTGTATTTTGCTAATCAGCTTTTGTTAGTATTTGTGTATTTAATTAGTGGCCCAAGATGATGCATTCTTCCAATGTGCAGCAGACAAAAAAAAGTTTGGCACCTGGCAGACTTTCATGATCTAGTCTTATGCCCCCCAGCACCTGCAATGCGGTAAGACGCTTGCCAAGAGCAATGATGACCTGGGCTCAAACAGGGCTTCCTGGGTGCCGGGGACAGCTGTCATGCTTTACACGTACCTAGCTTCAGCTTCCTTCAATCCTTTCAGCAACCTTAGGAGGCAGGTTCCATGATTAACTGAATAGTGTACTGATGAGGATATGGTACCTGGCCCTGGCCGCGCTCTTCTCCACACCTGTGCTGCTTTCTCTGCCTGCCAGGTAACCTTAGGCTAGGGCTGCCCCTCCTGGGTGCCAAGTGCCTCCATCTATAACCCAAGAATTGGACGGACATGTTCAGAATGGTCAGGCTCTGGGGGTGGAGCTGGAAGGGGTTTCAGGGAGGCGAGTTGGGAGTGGAGGCAAGGTGAGGCCTTTGCCAAGGTGCCTGGTCTACAGCTTCTCTGCTTCTTTTCCCAGGGTTGTCCCCAGTGCTGCCCTGCCCGCAGGGGTCTGCCGACTGCAGGAAACAGTGCGAGCCTGACTACTACCTGGACGAGGCCGGCCGCTGCACGGCCTGTGTGAGCTGTTCGCGGGGTAAGGGCCTGTTCTTTCTCCCAGGGCTCCTTCCAGGGATTATGAGGGGGCCTCAGAGGAGAGGCAAAAATTCTGGAAGGTGAGGAGCATCACGATTGTGCGTCTGTACTCTGAATCGTTCTCCTGGTACCTCAGTTTACCTTCCTGGATTTGCGATGAGTTCAGCCATGATCTTTTGCACCCATACTTTTCAGAGAGAATGAGAAAAGGAGTCACATATATTGAGTTTAATTTTCGCCGGAGTCCTAGGGAGGATTGTTTTCTTTATTTCTGCTCTACAGTGACAAATCTGAGGATTAGTAAAGTTCAACGGCCTTTCCAAAATTACAAAACTGGTAAGTGGCTGAAATGGACTTGGAATTGATGGCCTGGAGTCAAGAGCTGTCTACAGTCCTTCCAGGAAAACTCTTTTGCTAAGCTCTTTTATTGTTGAGTTGGTGAATGTGGTTGGTATTTGCTTTGGTTTTATAGGAGAGGATGAGATGGAGGAATTTGTTGAGATCTTGTGGCCCAATAAATGATCATATTTTTTTTAGAGTGTTCAGTGTGGTTTTCTAAAAAATGTGTTTTCTGTTGGTTGCATACAAAGTTCTTTTATGTATTTATTTATTTTTGAGACAGAGTCTCACTACATCACCCTCGGTAGAGTGCTGTGGCATCACAGCTGACAGCCACCTCCAACTCTTGGGCTTAAACGATTCTCTTGCCTCAGCCTCCAAAGTAGCTGAGACTACAGGTGCCTGCCACCACGCCCAGCTATTTTTTTATTGTTGTTGTCATTGTTGTTTAGCTGGCCCAGGCTGGGTTCAAAATGCCAGCCTGGGTGTAGATGGCCGGCACCCTATCCACTGAACTACAGGCACCACCCTAATTGTGTTGTTTAAATAACTTGTATCACTTTCACTTGATTTCTTTCTTTCTTTCTTTTTTTTTTGAGACAGAGTCTCACTATGTGGCCCTCAGTAGAGTGCCTTGGTGTCACAGCTCACAGCAACCTCAAACTCTTGGGCTTAAGCAATTCTCTTGCCTCGGCCTCCCAAGTAGTTGGGACTATAGGCACCCGCCAAAACGCTTGTCTATTTTTTGTTGCAGTTTGGCCGGGGCTGAGTTCAAACCCGCCACCCTTGGTATATGGGACCAGAGCCCTTCCCATTGAGCCGCACCCACTCAATTTTATTTTTTAAAGCAGTTTTAGATTTGGCTCAGCGCCCGTAGCACAGTGGTTACGGCATCAGCCACATACACTAAGGGTGGTGGGTTCAAGCCCAGCACGGGCCATCTAAACAATGATGTCAACTGCAACAAAATAATAGCCGGGCATTGTGGTGGGCACCTGTAGTCCTAGCTACTTGGGAGGCTGAGGGTAGAGCATTGCTTAAACCCAAGAGTTTGAGGTTGCTGTGAGCTGTAACGCCACGGCACCCTTATATGTCATACAAGAGTGACATAGTTGGCTCGGCGCCTATAGCTCAACCGGCTAAGGCGCCAGCCACGTACACCTAAGGTGGCGGGTTCGAATCCCCAGCCCGGACCCGCCAAACAACAATGATGGCTGCAACCAAAAAATAGCCGGGCGCTGTGGCGGGCGCCTGTGGTCCCAGCTACTTGGGAGGTGGAGGCAGAAGACTCGCTTGAGCCCAGGAGTTGGAGGTTGCTGTGAGCTATAATGCCACGGCACTCTACCCAGGGCGACAGCTTGAGGCTCTGCAAAAAAAAAAAAAAAAAGAGTGACATAGTTGAGACTCTGTCTCAAAAAAAAAAAAAAGTAGTTTTAGATTTGTAGAAAAATTGAATAGCATGCACAGAGTCCCCAGGTGCTCCTGTCTGCTCCCCACCCCAGTTTCTTACTTTTTGAGACACAGCCTCAAGCTCTGGGTTAGAGTGCTGTGGTATCACAGCTCACAGCAACCTCCAACTCCTGGGCTCAAGTGAGTCTCCTGCCTCTGCCTCCCAAGTAGCTGGCACTACAGGCGCCTGCCACAACACCTGTCTATTTTTTTGTTGCAGCCGTCATTGTTGTTTGGCAGGCCCGGGCTGGATTCAAACCCGCCACCTTAGGTGTATGTGGCTGGCGCCTTAGCCACTTGAGCCACAGGTGCCGAGCCGCCCACCCCAGTTTCACTGTTACCAACGTCTGGCATTATTGTGGTGTTTTTGTAACAGGGGTGAGCCAGCGTTGATACATTATTGTTAGCACCTGAAACGCAAAGTTTACGTGAGCATTCCTCCTGGTGTCGCACATTCGATGGCTTTTGCCATAGGACGTGTGTCCTCATCAGAGTATCAGACAGAGTATTTTCACTGTCCTCAAAATCCCCTGAGCTCCATGGCTTCGTTCTTCCCTCCCCCGAACATCTGGCAACCCCTGATCCTTTTGCTGCCCACACTGTGTACTTCATCTCTCCCAGAACATCATACAGTGGGAATCACGGTGTGCGGCCTTTTCACACTGGCCTCTCCACTTAACATGCATCCAAGGTCCCTCCATGTCTTCTTTGCCTGTTTTGAAATTGGGGCATTGGGCGGCGTCTATGGCTCAAAGGAGTAGGGCGCCGGCCCCATATGCCGGAGGTGGCGGGTTCAAACTCAGTCCCAGCCAAAAATAATTAAATAAATAAATAAATGGCATTGGGACGTTAATTTATTTTTGATCCTGTTTTAGTGATCACCAGGGAGGTAGGTGGGCTGGGAGGTGGAGCCTGCCTGTCCTCTTGTCCCCATCTCAGGAACACACTGAAGAGAAGGGCTGAGCCGCCAGCTGCCTGGCACAGCTGAAGCCACAGCAGTGTGCTGGACTGTCCCGGGGTGGTTCCCTGGACCCCTGCCCTCGCCGTCCCTCTGTTCCCCTATGTGACCCCTCTCTGTGTTCCTCAGATGACCTCGTGGAGAAGATGCCATGCTCGTGGAACTCCTCCCGTGTCTGCGAATGTCGACCTGGCATGTTCTGTGCCACGTCAGCCACCAACTCCTGTGCCCGCTGCTTCCTCCACTCGGTCTGCCCCAGAGGGATGATTGTCAAGTTCCCGGGTAAGTGTCCCGACTTCAGCGCAGGACCAAGATCTGTGCTGCTGCTGCTGCAGCTGCATCCCCTATCCCAATGCACTAGAGACTTCCAGCTTCCCGCCTCCTGGAGCCCCCCTTCGAGACGTGCCAGGATGTCCCGCACCTTGTGCTCTGGGCAGAATGAGACCTGCTGGTCCAAGACAGAAGCCTGGCTGGGGGAGACCACGGGTGTGTTTGAACCTTGGGGCAGAAATTCTCTGATGCCCCATAAACAAGAAGGAAACCTCACTCCTGGGAGTTTCCTGGGAGACACAGGCTGGTTTTCTCCTTTCAGAGTCAGGGCACTGGGAGTTAGAGGTGCCAAGAGATTGGGCTCTGGGCTGAAAAATGGAGGTTTCTTTTCCAGCTTGCTCTGTGACCTCAGGCAAGTTTATTACCTCTCCGGGCTTGGATTTTTTTTTTGAGACAGAGTCTCACTATGTCGCCCTAGGCAGAGCGCTATGGCGTCACACCTCACAGCAACCTCAAACTCTTGGGCTTAAGTGATTCTCTTCCCTCAGCCTCCTAAGTAGCTGGGACTATAGGTGCCCACCACAAGGCCTGGCTATTTTTTGGTTGTAGTTGTCATTGTTGTTTGGCAGATCCAGGCTGGATTCAAACCTGCCAGCTCTGGTGTATTTAGCTGGCGTCTACCCACTGAGCTATGGGCGCCACCAGGGCTTGGAATTTTTTGACAGTGTGAGGAAAGGGCTCATGACTAGAGAGAAGGTAAAAGCCACAGGTCCTGTCTGACTGGCCTGACTGGCCAGTCTAACTGGCTCTTCCACGGCTGGGCACAGTGGCTCTCGCCTGTAATCCCTGAACTCTGGGAGGCCAAGGTGGGAGGATCAATTGAGCTCAGGAGTTCAAGACCAGCCTGAGCAAGAGCAAGACCCCATTTCTACTAGAAATAGAAAAACTTAGCCAGTCATCGTGGTAGGTGCCTGTAGTTCCAGTTACTTGGGAAGCCGAGGCAGGAGGATTGCTTGAGCCCAGGAGTCTGAGGTTGCTGTGAGCTGGGCTGATGCCAGAGCTGAATGATGCTCTGTCTCAAAAACAAAAACAAAAAAAAGTACCTGTTTCAGAAGGTAGGCATGAGGAGTTGGTAGCCTTTGCACCACCCAGCCTGGATGCTCCAGCTGCAGAGTACCCGGAGAAGGATGAGAAGGGGTCAGAGGCCCCCACATGTCCACTGATGAGAAAAGTGCTGAAATTCAGCCTGTGACCCCTCCCCCAACCTGTTCCTTCTCTAGAGTCTCATTCCCAGCAGCACAAGCCTTGGGACTGTCAGTCTCCGCCATCCTCCTCCCTCATTCTTTCCCTTTCTCCCGCCCCATTCCTAGCCCTGTAAGCTTGGCCCCATTCATCTCTCCCATCCCCTAACCCCCAGTCCTCCCCTAGGACAAAACTTCTCGCTCTCTCTTTCCTTCCTTTTACCCTCTCTCTGTCTCTTTCTCTTTTTCACACACACACACATGCATAAAATGCTTTGATGTCTTCTCATTACTCTAATAATCAGGACAGGAAGCAAAAGAGTGCAGGTTCTTCAGGAGACTTTCAAAAAAATCTGCCCTGCGGCTTGTGCCTGTGGCTCAGGGTGCTGGCCCCATGTACCGAGGATTCAAACCCTGCCCCAGAAACAAAAAAATAGCCAGACCTTGTGGTGGGCATCTGTAGTCCTAGCTACTCAGGAGGCTGAGGCAAGAGAATCGCCTAAGCCCAGGAGTTGGAGGTTGCTGTGAGCTGTATGATGCCAGGGCACTCTACTGAGGGTGACAAAGTGAGACTCTGTCTCTCCAAAAAAAAAAAAAACTCTGCCCTGCTTGGCATCCATAACACAGTGGTTACGGTGCCAGCCACATACACCAAGGGTGGCGGGTTTGAGCCCTGCCTGGGCCAGCTAAACAACGATGACAACTGCAACAGAAAATAGCTGGGTGTTGTGACGGATACCTGTAGTCCCAGCTACTTGGGAGGCTGAAGCAAGAGAATTGCTTGAGCCCGAGAGGTTGCTGAGGTTGCTGTGAGCTGTGACGCCCCAGCCCTCTACCAAGGGCAACATAGTGAGACTTTGTCTCAAAAAAAAAAAAAAATCTGTCCGTTGGAGTGGTGCCTGTAGCTCAGTGAGTAAGGGTGCTGGCCACATACACCCAAGCTGGTGGGTTTGAACCTGGCCTGGGCCATCTAAACAACAACTGCAACTATAACAAAATAGTTGGGCATTGTGGCGAGTGCCTGTAGTCCCAACTACTTAGGAGGCTGAAATAAGACAATCGTTTAAGCCCAAGAGTTTGAGGTTGCTGTGAGCTGTGAAGCAACAGCACTCTACAGAGGGTGACATAGTGAGATTATCTAAAAAAAAAAAAAAAAATCTGCCCATTGGTGCCTATTTTTAAAAACTGTGCCCATTGGTGTTTCTGGGTTGCCTGCTGCTTCACCTCAAGTCTGGGATATACGTGTATGAAGCAAAGAGGAAACGCTGAGGACCCCCCGTTCATCCCTCTGGTCCCAAGGTCCCTAGCTGATCTGCCTTCTCTTTACTTTTTAGAGTCTTATCTCATTTATTTTGTACATAATGTCCAGGGTTTTTAGCTGTTCTTGGTGGAAGGAATAGGGAAGAGAGTATCTCCTCTGTCTTCCCAGAATCACAGTCTCAGGACGTGACACATCCCCCCCCACACACAGCACCCCTCCTCCAGCCTCTGCTCTCAGCACCAGCCAATCTGCTCCTTTCAGGTCCATGGATGTGCATGCTTCTCCATCCCACTGGGCCTTTGCGCATGCTGTTTCTTCTGTTCCCTCCCCATTCACTTAGTCAAACAACCCTATTCACTCTCTGTCCAATGTCACTTCCTTAATGAGTCTTCCTTGCCTTCTCACCAGGGAAGCTTGTAGCCCAGGGGCATATGTGGATACAGGCCTCTGTTTCTGTCTTGGTTGACGAATGCCTGTCTCCCTCCCTGGGCTGGAAGCTTCATGAGGGCCAAGGCCGTGGCCATTGTGTTCACCATCATGTCCCTACTGGCTAATCAAGGGCCAGGCACGGTATCTGTTCTCCATAGATAATTCGTTGAATGATGGGAGGAGCCCTGACAGGGACATGTAAGCTAGGGGTGGGTGCAGATTAAACCTGGTCAACTTCTCCCTGGCTCACAGAAAAGCACTCTGCTGAGGGAGTGCAGGAGTCCCCTCCTGCCCACCTCCTGGAAGCAGGAGCAAAGCAGTCAAGTGGAAAGCACTCTGGATGGAGCATTAGATACCTGGGATTCTGCAAAGCTTTGCATCTGGGGGGCATGTTACCATTCCTCTCTGGACCTCAGTATCCACGCCTGTAATTCGAGGAGGTGTAACTTGTAGGCCCTGGGGAAGCAGGTCTGTAGCCCATAAACTTGCATCTCTGTGAAAAACAGCCTGAGTTCTGCTGTTCCAGCCAGTCACTTGGGATTGTCTTCTAGTTGGCTAAGGGGCTGTCTGGAGAGGTGTTCCCACAACTGCCACACGGTGGCATCAGAGGCCACCCTTTGATGCCCCTAGGCCCCTGTGATCCATTGTGGCCACATGAAGCCATCCTGCAGGTAAAATGTGGCTAAGTCTGTCCTGAGAAGCTCAGTAAGTCTACAATATAAACTGGGTTTCAAAGACTTAGGACAAAAAAGAATGTAAAACATCTATCTCGTTTGTTGTTTTTATGTTGATTACCTGCTGACATGATATTTTAGATACATTGGGTTAAATATCTTATTAGAATTAATCTCATTTTTATCTTTTTACTTTTTTTGGGGGGGGCAGGGTCTCACCCTTTCACCCAGGCTAGAGTGCAATGGCATCATCACAGCTTGATGCAACCTCGAACTCCTGGGCTCTAGGGATCCACCTGTCTCTGCCTCCTGAGCAGTCTGGGTCGACAGGCATCTGCCACCATGCCCAGCTAATTTTTCTATTTTTTTGCTCATACTCATACTGGTCTTGAGCTCCTGGCCTTAAGCCATCCATCCTCCTGCTTCAGCCTCCGAAAGTGCTGGTATCACAAGTGTGAGCCACCATGTCTGGCCTCACTTTACCTTTTTTTTTTTTTTTTTTTTTTTTTTGAGACAGAGCCTCAAGCTGTCCCCCTGGGCAGAGTGCCGTGGCCTTACAGCTCACAGCAACCTCCAACTCCTGGGCTCAAGCGAGTCTCCTGCCTCCGCCTCCCAAGTAGCTGGGACCACAGGCACCCGCCACAACGCCCGGCCATTTTTTGGTTGCAGCCGTCATCGTTGTTTGGCGGGTCCGGGCTGGGGATTCGAACCCGCCACCCTAGGTGTACGTGGCTGGCGCCTTAGCCAGTTGAGCTATAGGCGCCGAGCCCACTTTACCTTTTTTAATGTGGCTCCTAAAACATTGAAACTGAAATATGTGATTCATATCATAGTTCTGTTCCACAGGACTGCTTGAGAAGGGCTCCAGCCTTGGCTGCTAAACCCTAGTTAGGTTCTGGAGGCCCGTGGGGACTCTTCCATGGGGGAACTCCAGGGCTCCAGTTTTCCAACTCTAAAATGGAAAGTGGTTACTGCCTTCCGTTTAGCTCTTAGCTTTGCTAAGGCTTTTTTTCTTAAAATGCTCTAACCTGCAGAAGGTAAACTGTATTAGCCCCATTTCCCAAGTGAGGGAGTCAAGGTCTAGAGATGGCAGGCTAATTGTCACACACAGAGCAGGGAATGTCTAAGTCCAAGTCTCGTCCCTTCACCACGCTGCAGATACACGAGAGGTCAGCACTGCTCGTGCTTACCTCCGTTGGAAACCTTCAGAAAGTGATCCCTTCTAAGGATGGGACAGGAGTCCAGATGGAGAAAAGGACGCAGAATTTGCTGTTTGTCACATAGCGTGACAGGCGCCTACTTATACTTCAGTGCCTACCCCGATGGTGGCCACGTGGAGGGTATTGTTATAATCATTTGATGTAATGCAACTCAGCGGCATTGATGGAAAGTGCATTTGTCTCCCTCTCCACTCTGCTTCCATTCAGTATGCTTCAGGACTCTTCTGATTACAAGTAACAAGATCTCGTTGTTTTTTGCACACGTAACTGTAACAGGTCTGGGGATAGCTCTGGGTGGTTTCAGGCATGGCTGGATCCAGGAGCTCTTGTCTTTCCCCATCTCTCATATCTACTCCTTCTGGGTTGGTTTGTCTGTTAGATACAGCTCTGGGCTTCCTTCCTGCCCAACCCAGTGGACAGACGGCTTCTCCTGCCTCTATTTTCTTTTCTTTTTTCTTTTTTTTTGAGTCTTATGTTGCCCTTGGTAGAGTGCCATCCATGGCGTCGCAACTCACAGCAACCTCAAACTCTTGGGCTTAAGTGATTCTCTTGCCTCAGCCTCCCAAGTAGCTGGGACTACTGGTGTCCTCCACAACGCCCCGCTATTTGTTGTCATTGTTGTTTAGCAGGCCCGGGCTGGGTTCAAACTCACCAGCTACAGAGCATGTGGCTGGTGCCCTAACCACTGAGCTATGGGCGCCGAGCCTCCTTCCTCTGTTTTCAGTATCTAAACCGAAACCTTGTGATTGCATCTGGGTGTGAGTGGGGGGGCATGTGCCCCTCCCTGAACTGGTCCATCATGGTCAGAGGGATGGAATGGATTTACTGGGCCAGTCTGGTCATACAGCTGTCCCTGGAAAGGTGGTTTAGTCGCTCCTAGCCCCCAGCCACAGGCACTGGGATTGGGGGAGGGTAATCCCTCAGGGAAAACTGGGCAGCTTTACTCCAAAAGGGAATGGGTGCTGGGCAGGCGCGAACGCCAGGTGAGCACTGCATTTTCTCAGTGTCCCACCCCTGACTCTGGTTTGTGGTAGTACAAGTGGTATTCCTGGGGAATTCAGGCTCCTCAATACCAGTTCTGAAGGCATTCCTGCCCCCGCTGCAGGCACAGCAGAGAGGGACATTGTCTGTGAGCTGCCTTCCCCAGGGACCCGCCATGACTGCTCCAGCCCAGGGGACTGCAAGGACCCCACCAGGTGAGTCCCTGGCCCTGACACTCCTTCCTCTCCTCAGCTGACCTTCACATGGATGTCCTACCCACTACGACACCCAGGGCACAGCTGGGCTGTGGGTACAGGTGGGGTTCAGCCCAAGGCATCAGGACTCCAAGGTCCTCTCTGCCATGCCCCAAGTCCTCTGAGGCCCTAGTGTGCCCACCCTGCCTCGAGCACGTGGGAGATCCAGAGGGCCCAGAAAGCACAGCCCTGGGAGCTTATCCTGGGCCTGCTGGAGGCAGTGTGCGCAGGGTAGGAAGACCCTGTTGTCCCCTGAGCACAGACCTCCATGGCCCCATCAGAAGAACTGTCAGTGTCATCTCTCGCCTCTCCCCTACAGCTCCATCCTGCAAGCCAAGCCCACCCCGATGCCCCCAGCAACCTCCCATGCCAGGACCACACTTCCTAGAGGGGACACCTCCCTTGTCCCAGAAGATCCTTCAAAACAGACAAGGGTTCCCAACTCTGCCTCCTCAGGTAATTCCCCCCTGAAGCTGTGGGTTGTCTCCCATGTGTGGTGGTATCTGGGCAGGTGGGTGCTGAGCTGTGGTCCTTTACCAGTGGGGAGAGAAGAGGGTCTCAAGGTCTGACCTCCTGGGGCTGAAGGCATCAAGGTCAGAGGATGACACTGGGAGGGCTCATCCGCTTACCAGAAGCGCTGAGGCCCGCCCTGAGCTGGGTGCTGGGTGCTTGGTGCTGGTCCCACTCTGCCATCCCTCTGCACACATCTGCTGGCTGCCCCCACCGTCCAATCCCTGTGGCAATGGGTCAGGCTCTCAGTTCATTTCTTTTTATTACCGAGTAGCTTTCCACCATGTGGAAACTCCACCCTCTACACATCCAGTTTTTGGATATTTATTTGCTTGTTTCTACTTTCTGGCTATAATGAATAAAGAAAAATGAGTCTGTGTATGAAAGTATGTTTTCATTTCTCTCAAGTTGGTTTTTTTAAAAAAAATAATTGATTTGTAGGACTTCTTATAATTTTGGGTTCAAGCCCTCTGTCCTATAGTTGTGTTCAGAATGTCTCCTGCCCCCTGGCTTGCCTTCTCTTTCTCTTTATGGGATCTTTTTTCTTTTTTTAAAAGACAGGAGTCTTACTCTGTTGTCTTGGGTAGAGTAGAGTGCCATGACATCCTCACAGCTCACAGCAACCTCAAACTCCTTTGACAGAATTTTGGTCAAGTTCGTCCCATGGAAAAATACTGATCTTAAAAATTAATAGTTAATTTTTAAGGCTGGGGGTGGTGGCTTATGCCTGTAATCCTAGCACTCTGGGAGGCTGAGGCAGGTGGATTGCCTGAGCTCATGGGTTTGAGACCAGCCTGAGCAAGAGTGAGACCCTGTGTCTAAAAATAGCCAGTTGTTGTGGCGGGTGCCTGTAGGCCCAGGTACTTGGAAGGCTGAGACAATAGAATCACTTGAGCCCAAGAGTTTGAGGTTGCTGTGAACTGTGATGCCACGGCACTCTACCAAGGGTGGCAAAGTGAGACTCTGTCTCAAAGAAAAAAAAAATTAATAACTTAAAACTGCCACATAAAAAGAAACAAATGGTCCACAAAACATTCTCCTTTCCTTTTGAAGGTTATTTTTGTTTTTGTTTTATCTTTGGGACAGAGTCTCACTCTCACCCTGGGTAGAGTGCTGTGACGTTATAGCTCACAGCAACTTCAAACTTTTGGGTTCAAGCAATTCTCCTGCCTCAGCCCCCCAGGTAGGTGGGACTACCAGTGCTGGTCACAATGTCCGGCTAATCTTTTCTCTATTTTTAGTAGAGATGGGGTCTCACTCTTGCTGAGTCTGGTCTTGAACTTTTGAGCTCAAGCAAACCCCCTTCCTTGGCCTCCCAGAGTGCTACGATTACAGGTGTGCCCTATTGCACCTGGCCCTCCTTCTGAAGGTTTTACGATGCCTGGTTATCACTAACCAGTCTTTTACTATTAAATTTTTAAAAATACGGAATGCTCCATGAATGTGTATGTCATCCTCGTGCAGGGGCCATGCTAATTTTCTCCGTATTATTCCAATTTTAGTATATGTGCTCCTGAAGCAAGCCCTTGGTATTATTTGGAACCATGTGGAAAACGGAAGTTTCATAGGGTCCATCCTAATAGGTAGAAATTCAATTGATTTTGATATAGTGACATTAATTCCAACCACCTTGCTAAACTAATTTCTTACTTCCAATAATGCACCTGCAGGTTATTCTGGGTTGTCTCTGTCCTCAAGTAATCCCCGTGAATACAGAGCTCGATCTCTTCCTTCGTAAACTTACCGCTTTTCTTTCTTTTTCTTGCCTTCCTGCATTGGCTGGCAACCCCCATGCCGTGTCAAATAGAAGTTACGATCCTGGATGTCCTTGCCTTCTTGCTGAGCTTGCAGGGAAAGCTGCCACCAAAGTTTTGAGCAGAGAAGTGATATCCTAGCACCAAGGAGAGGGCTCCGGCATGGTGGCCACAGTGGGTCGGAGAAGGAGGAGCAGGAGGCAGGGCAGGGGGCAGTTACTGGATTGTGTCTGACATTCCTTCCTTCTCTCTGAACCTCCGAACCGCCCTAACCCCAGGAGGCAGGATTGATCTGACCTGTGAGGGTTTGGGATTGGGAGCTGGCCATTGTGGGGTGGAGGGGGCTTCAGGAATCGGGGTGGGTGAGGGCTTTGCTGAGGCAGCCTGGCCTGGAGCTTCTCTGCTTCTTTTCCAGGGCCGTCCCCCACCGTGCCGTGCCCACCAGGGTCTGCAGACTGCGGGAAGCAGTGTGAGCCTGACTACTACCTGGACGGGGCTGGCCGCTGCACCGCCTGTGTGAGCTGTGCTCGAGGTGAGCGCCTCGTCCTCCCTCTTGGGGGGCCTTCTGGGGAGCTCAGGGTCTTGGAGGAAAGGCTGAGACTCTGTGGGTGGGGAAACCCGTCCCTGGTTTTGTCCGTTCAGCCTTTGGGAGCCTCACTTTACCTCTCCATCAACATCTAGTGACTCCCCTGGCATTTGTGGGGTTTGGTGGCAGTCATCTCTCTTCAGAGAGCTTCCTCTTACTTATTCTTTCCATCACGGAAACACTTGTACATCACCTGCCTGTTCCAAACCGGTTCTAAACTTGTCTCATTAACTTTCGTTACCTACCCATCTTACGGAAGAGGAAACTGAGGCTTTGGGAAGTCAGAGAACTAACAATTGCCAGAAGCTGGGTTTGCAGCCAGGCGAGTCTGCCACCAAGCTCCAGGCTCTTGTCCCACACCGAGCTTCCTCTGCGAGCCTGCTGCTGACCAGTCCTTGCCAAGCTACCAGCATGACAGGATAGGGACATGGGGCTTTCCTTGCAACCAGCCACTGGGGCCAGCACCTTGAGATGTCCATGAGGACCCCACAGGGCAGGGGCAGCTACCTATCTGGAGAGGCCCCAGCTGCTCACAGAGGCTCCTGGGAAGGTCTGATTCTGCCTCATATCCGGGGTTTCTTCCACACAGAGATGTGGACTAGAGAGTCAGGGGAGGCCACATACAGGAATGATGACCCAGTGTGTTGGCACTGAGGGCCTCTGTCCCAGTTGCTAAGACTAAATAACAGTTTCAAAATGTAGCAGTGAGAAACAAACCTGTCTTTGTATTGGTGGATTCTGTGGGTCAGAATTCTGACAAGGCCGGAGGACAGCTGGTCTCTGCTCTTGATGTCTGCGGTCTCAGCTAGGGAGCCCCGAGGCTGGAGGCCGGGATTCTCTCAAGGCTCGTTCAGTCACGCGTCTCGGGCCTCCGTTCCTCTGTGCAGCTCCCTCTGGGCGTCCTTGTGCTCTGGTGTCTGGGCCCTACTGGCAGAGACCTTCAGGGAGACAGGAAGAGGAGACGGGACTGAGACAGAGATGGAGAAGGGTGGCAGCCATACCATAGCCTCTTATCTCGTTTCACAAGTTACTCGGCATAATCTCCTCCCCTTTCTGTTTGTTGAGGCAGCTGCAAACCTCACCTGAGACAGAGGGAAGGAAAACAGTGCACTTCTGACGGGGAAGGGGCCGGCTCTGGAAGAGCAGACAGGCCCAGACATGCCGCTATGGCCATTTTGGGGAAAATACAATTTGCCGCAGCCCCCGTGTGAGATAGAGAAAAAGGGGGATGGCTCAGGGCCCAGGAATTCCTTTCGCTTTCCTAAATGAAGCCCTGCCAGGTGGAGGAGGGGAGGATGGTGGCTAAGGGCCCACAGGCCCGGGTTCAGATGTTGGCCCTCCCACTGGATCACTTAGAAACTCAGGCAAGTGTCTTAACCTCTCTGTGGAACATACAGAATCCTGCTCCCCCCCACTTTGTTGCCAAGGCTAGAGAGCCCCAGCCTCAGCCTAACTCAGAGCAACCTCCAACTCCTAGGTTCAAGTGATCCTCCTGCCTCAGCCTCCCGAGTAGCTGGGACTACAGGTGCCTGTCACAACACCTACCTAATTTTTCCTTTTTTTTTTTTGAGACAGAGTCTTACTCTGTTGTCCTGGGTAGAATACTATGGTATCATAGCTCACAGCAACCTCAAACTCTTGGGCTCAAGTGATCCTCCTGCCTCAGCCTCTTGAGTAGCTGGGACTACAGGTGCCTGTCACAATGCCTACCTAATTTTTCCTTTCCTTTTCTTTCTTTCTTTCTTTATTCTTTTCTTTCTTTCTTTTTTTTTTTTTTTTGGAGACAGGGTCTCATTCTGCCCTCGGTAGAGTGCTGTAGCGTCACAGTTCACAGTAACCTCAAACTCTTGGGCTCAAGAGATCCTTTTGCCTCAGCCTACCGAGTAGCCGGGACTATAGGTGCCTGCCACAATGCTGGCTAGTTTTTCTATTTTTATTAGAGACGGGGATCTCACTCTTGCTCAGGCTGGTCTCAGGCAATCCACCCACCTCGGCCTCCCAGTGTGCTAGGATTACAGGCGTGAGCACTGCACCTAGCCTGTCCTGCTTTTCTGTCTGACTTTTACTCAATTGTTTGCTTTTGAACTTGGCGTTATTATTTGAGCATGCTGGGAGATCTGCCCAATGAAATAGTCAAATGAGCATTTATTTTTGTTGGACGACCCCAGCCTCTCTGTCCTGGCTCTTGGACACCCTGCCTTCACCATCCTGGTCCCATGACCCCTCTCTGTGTTCCGCAGATGACCTCGTGGAGAAGATGCCATGCTCATGGAACTCCTCCCGTGTCTGTGAATGTCGACCTGGCATGTTCTGTGCCACGTCAGCCACCAACTCCTGTGCCCGCTGCGAGGCCCTCCCTGCCTGCGCACCAGGGATGGCTGTCCAGGCCCAGGGTAAGCGGTCCCCGAGGGGCGAGGGGTTGTACCTCCTGCCATACCTCTCCCCACCTGCAACCAGGCAAATGACCCTCAACCCTGGCTGTCAACCAGGTCAGTGTTGGGCTTTGGTTATCCGTTGAGTATTTAGACCCAATGACTGGGATAATAATATCCAGATTGAACATGTTGGTAAGGGGTTCTAATCATGTACCTTTATTTTATATTTTTATGTGAAACCTCGGAAGGCTCATTTCTACATTTTTTAAATTTTGGATTAATACAAGGGTACATACAATTAGGTCACACATTGTTTGTGTTTGTTAGGTGACATCCAAATTGCATCTGAGTTCTTCACCCAGGAAGTATGCCATATACCCCTACACTGTACCTGTTAGGTGGGTGCTTACTGAGCTCCTCCCCACCAATGATATATTTTTAAAAAGCCTTCTTTCTGGATGTGGTGGCTCACGCCTGTAATCCTAGAACTCTGGGAGGCTGAGGTGGGTGGATTACCTGAGCACATGGGTTCAAGACCTTGTCTCTGAAAATAGCTGGGTGTTGTGGCGGGTGCCTGTAGTCCCAGCTACTTGGGAGGCTGAGGCAAGAGAATCTCCTAAGCTCAAGAAAGGGAGGTTGCTGTGAGCTGTGATGCCACAGCACTCTACCAAGAGTGACGTAGTGAGACTCTGTCTTAAAAAAATAAATAAATAAAAAGACTTCTTTCTAAAATTATCAAGTGGTAAAATCAAGATTGTTTCATTGACTCAGGGAATAGACAGTTTCTGAATAGATTTCCAACTCGGGAGTGGGTTTTGCCAGTGTGTGGAAAACCTTCAACCTCTGATAGTTTTTTTAAAAATGGGCTCATCAGGTGGCGCCTATGGCTCAAAGGAGTAGGGCGCCAGCCCCATATACCGAAAGTGGCAGG